TTTCGGCTTTCTTTCTGTATACGGTCTTAGATTGTAGAATGGAGGGAACACTTTAAAACAAAACAGCGCAACCTCATCAGGTTTGTGGTCTTTTGTATCGTCACGATGATGATGATTGATGATGACATAGCATCCAGGATCTGCTGATGGACTTGGGAAGTGGCCATGAAATTCTGTAATAAATCGACGTAGTCACATTGACTGTGGGCTTGTTTTTGAAGTTATACTTCTTTAGGCGCGTTATGAAAAAATGATGAGAGTGAAATTTTAAGATGCGCGCGCATCACTGTAACACAAAAAATTAACAGCATGAACTTTTGTGTTTACCGCACATTAAGAAAATCTACCAACAAAATAGAAATAGAATCTCTATTTAGTGGGTGCTAACGACTGCATTGTGAAGGCCTATCAAAAGTATTTATTAATCTGGAACAACGGAACCAAAGCGCGATTCAGGAGACTACAGCGCCATCTCTTGACCATTGGTGTAGTAGAACCAAAAACCACATCTTTATTTTTTGTAATAAAGTAACTGTTATAGGTATTCATATTTATAATATTTATCCACATGTTTCTAGTTTGTATATTCGGAATACGTGTTTGAGTTTCATACAAGTGCAAATCACATATGTTCTAATAAATTATATTCAGTAGCGATTTTAATTGAATATTTTGATTATTTATTTATTTTTTCAAATTAAAACTGAACTTTATTGACTGTGTCCTTTTCCAGACTTTTTATTAATTTATTGTAATTAATTATTTGCATGCAATTAAAAACTAATTTTAAACGATGCCAAAGAAGGATAACTTCTCACGCGCCTACATAAGTACACGCACCCATTTTTTTTTCCATTTGTTGCTACATCTGGCTAATCAGGCAGACAGGTATTATGTCGGAAATTGACTTCTGACCCACTTGCCCGATAATGTGCTTGCAATTGGCAAAACAGCTAAGTTTTCTTCTAAACAGTTTTAACTTTAAAATTTTCTGTGAGTAATGGAATCTTAATATCTACTCGAAACAAATTTTCATCATATCCCGATAGCTTGGATAGTGAATTCTATGATATATCAGCGATGCTGACATCACTATTTCTAAAAACTCGAACGAGGTACATGTGCCGTTATATATAATACTAACATATCCCAAAAACCAAAATGTCATGGTGACTACACGGAAAATGTGAAATGTAATGATGATTTAGAAGTATTCATTATAACGTAAGAAAACAAACGTTGTATAATAATTGACTGAACTATTGTCGATAGTAAATCTCATATCAATTAAATAAAGCTAAAAAGCGGCCAAGTGCGAGTCGGACTCGCCATTGAAGGGTTCCGTAGCAGCAAGTAACATGATATAAAAGTTCTTATAATTTTTATTATTTTTAAAGCATGTAACTGCTTGATGTTTAAATCTAAAGAAAATATAACTAGAAAAAATTCCACGCGGACCAGGCAGCAGACGGGACTCGAACCCGCACCCTTCGCAATCCGGGCGAATGCACTGACCAATTATGCTACCGCGGCCCTCACGGACCGCGTCGAAATTCTTTCTAGCTATTCTTAAGCTGCAAGGCAGCGCCATCTCTTCGCATTATAGGTAAACCCACAATGTCAAATGAATACTTTTACAAGTATTAAACATTTGAAAGAAGAAATAGCAATTATAGTTATAATTTTTATTATTTTTAAAGCATGTAACTGCTTGATGTTTAAATCTAAAGAAAATATAACTAGAAAAAATTCCACGCGGACCAGGCAACAGACGGGACTCGAAGCTTCTTTCAAATGTTTAATACTTGTAAAAGTATTCATTTGACATTGTGGGTTTACCTATAATGCGAAGAGATGGCGCTGCCTTGCAGCTTAAGAATAGCTAGAAAGAATTTCGACGCGGTCCGTGAGGGCCGCGGTAGCATAATTGGTCAGTGCATTCGCCCGGATTGCGAAGGGTGCGGGTTCGAGTCCCGTCTGTTGCCTGGTCCGCGTGGAATTTTTTCTAGTTATATTTTCTTTAGATAAAAGTTCTTGTTAGGGTTAGAAAAGAATGGTTCACGGTTTATGCATAAGGTTTATGTTTATAATAAATAAATAAAAATAAAATAAAATCTTTTATTTCAAGACATGGTCTCATATATGTTAGTAACAATTTTTCTTAACCTATGTTAGTTATGAAATTAAATATTTTTGAGGATCGTTGTACACTTTTTTTTGTATGGGTAAAAAATGTTAAACTCGCGTCAGGTTAAACACGTGGGCTGATCGTATCATGATACACAATAAAATTGGAAAGGTTGTTGACTTTCAATGTATTGGACGAAACATAGTAATATTTTATTTTACCGTATTATAATAATAAGTCTCTATCTAGGACGTCCACGTGGCAGCTTTATTGCGAAGAAAATGCATTTTTTTACAATAGATGTCGCTAGGTGCGCTTAAATGTGATTCATGTAAGTTGATTTTTCTGAAAGATAAACTTTTTTATTATAACGCTATAAATAAATATTGTATTCTACCACATACATGATAGTACTTTTATACTGATAATAAAAGCAATTCGTGCAAAATTATTCCCTAACCATTCCAAAATATCAAAAATGCACAACGTTAATATTCAAGTTTTCACTTCTGTCGGCACTCCCGGAGTGCAACCCGTCGTTTCTTTATTTTATTTTTATATTTGAGTTGGTTGAACGATAGGTAAATTGCTGTTTGAGATTTATGACGTATTAAAAAAACTACCTACTAGATCTAGTTCAAACCAATTTTCGGTTGAAGTTTGCATGGTAATGTACATCATATATTTTTTTAGTTTTATTATTCTCTTGAATTAGAAGTTACGGAGGGTCCGGGAGTCATACATTTTACCACTTTGGAAAGTTCTCTCGTGCAAACTATTCAGTTTAGAAAAAATGATATCAGGAACCTCAATATCATTTTTGGAGACCTATTTTGACGACCTCCGTGGCCGATTGGTTTATACGCCGGGTTTCATTGTGTCGCCGACTCGAGAGGTCTCAGGTTCAAATCCCGGTGGGGGCAGATGTTTGTGTGATGAATACGAACATTTGTACCCCAGTCATGGGTGTTTAATATGTATTTCTTTATAAATATATAAGTATCAGTATATGTATTCCATCCGTTACGCTAGTATCCCATAACAGAAGCCTTACAGTGATTACTTTGGGGCTAGGCTAATTGGTGTGAATGTTGGAAATATTTATTATTATTATTTATTTATAATGGTTTGATGAAAAAAAATCGAGTTTCAGTTATAAGTATAGGGAATCCCCACAATTTATCGATTTTTTTCAATTTTTTGTGTGAAATCTTTAATGCGGTTTATAGAATACATCTACTTGTCAAGTTTCACCAGTATAGTTCTTATAGTTTAGGCAAAAAGTGGCTGTGACATACGGACGGACAGACAGACATGACGAATCCATAAGGCTTCCGTATTTTGCCATTTGGCTACGGAACTCTAAAAAGTATGTTGGATAAATATTGGATATTGACCTGTGGCTCTACTATCAACTTTGTTTACAGTATATAAAAATAATATTATTCTTAATGTGATTAGTAGAAAAAGATTAGTGATCGCTCTCAGAGCATTCGTTACTGTTCTAGTGAGTAAGGAAAAAATATTTTTTTAAAAGAAAACGGTTCCATCGAAACTGACATAAATCTTGGTAAAATAAAAAATACGGTAATAAGGTAAGAAAGACCCACATGAAATTAAATTCTCTATTCTAACATCATTTACAATTAACCGATTTACTTACATCAAACAACAAACGTCGCCGCACGCGGGCCACCGACCACAACCACAAAACGCCGCCACCGGCATATTTCTTGTAGTTTTCATAAGTACATTTTATATGGACTCGCCACACACGGTACGTCGGTGGCCACCACACGCTACACAAATCGTCGTTGCTCGCTTCTTGTGGCCCGCACCGGCCACTTAGTGTCGCTGCATACGGGCCACACGCCACAGCCACAAACGCCGTCACGAGAAGCTAGAAGCGGCTACCAAAGTGGCTGAAGCGCGCGACAGCGGCCGACTAAGGTAAGGGAGCGAGGGGTGGGGAATCGCGCGAGTGACGTGTGGCGGCGTTTTGTAACGGCGCATTAAGTGGTTGGTGCAGGGGTTTTTTTTTTCATGTGTAATGTTAAATATATGGTTCTCTGTATATTTATAAGGGAACAAATATATATATTTATATATTGAAGTTAACGTTTAAATTGTGATCATGGTCAGTTTTGATTCTGCAATTGGATACAGATCCAAAACCGCCGCTATGTATTTATGCTTTTAGTCGATGTGGCAGTTAGGTACCATTGATGCGCTTAAGTTGTGACACTATTGTGTCGACATGTTTGATGAATTTGCAAGTGGCTGTTTCGCTCTTTATTGTTTCCAGTAAGTTGTATGGTTCAATTTTGTATAATCCGCAGTAATTTTCATATTCAGCTCTGGTGCAGTGGAATATAGGGCAATCTTTTAAGATGTGTGTGATGTCCTGTTTAGTGTGGTTATCACATGGGCAACAATCATCGGGTGTTATTTTATATTTGTACAGATAGGCCTTGTGGTAACCGTGGCCCGAGAGAATTTGTGTGACAGAAAAAGAAGGTTTGACAACTGTTCGAAATTCCGTTATTTCGGCGATGGTTTGGAAGAACGACTTTGTGACTGCTCCTTGCGGAGCCGTTTCATACTCTTCCTGCCACGCGCTCAGGGTCCTTTCCTTCAGATAGCGCTTAGTGTGGGATAGCGGGAATACGTTCATAAGTGCCGCTGTTTTCTTGGCAGCCGCCTCTTTGGCTGCAGCGTCTGCTAATTCATTTGCCACTATCCCCACATGGGCTTTGGTCCAAATAAATCTTATCTTATATCTTTGGTGCGGGGGTAAACGAGGCGAAAAAAATGTGAAAGGGCTCTTAATTAATAAGTTGATGATGATGACAATGATATAAATATTTTAAAGGTGAGCGATGTTGCTGTACGTTTTGGTATTATTGCTGGCACTGACATGGGTTTACTTGAAATGGTTAAGCGTGAAGCGGTATTGGGCCGATCGAGGGGTTGTACACGAGAAGCCACATCCACTGCTGGGCAGCTTCACTTTCTTGCAGAAAGTTAACCCGGTAAGAGATTCAGTCTCATTATCCAGCTTTCACCGAGGTTTATATGTATACAAAGCACCATAGCTATATTTAAGATCAATAACAAATAGTTAATTCATCAGTTTATGAACCGTTTTTTTTTTGTATAAGTTTTCTCATTTTACTTTTGTGGTTCTAAACTTTTTATTTTATTACGTTACACAGAACGCCAAAGCTTGGTTGTTTTATTTTCATTAAAAGAAGAAACCATTAAAATCAATTACATTATTAATGACATTACTAGTAGTTACTTGACGAGTTCAGTAGTTTAAGTGGTATGTATACTGATTTTCAAGGTGTCGCTTACAAAGATCCAATTCTTTGTATGATGAATACCAGCATTTGCATTTAAGTACAAAAAATAAACTTATCGATCTAACATCATAATATGTATTTATATCCGATATCCAAGTATCCCTTACAGTGCTTACTTTATGGTTAAGCTAAATGGTAAGTGTTAGAAATATTTATTTACTTGATAAAACTAGAACTTGCACCCTCCGCTATCCTGTCGAATACACTGACCAATAAATAGGCTAGTTGACTTTTGTCGAATACACTGATCAATAGGCTAGTTGACTCATGTCGATAACACTGACCAATAGGCTAGATGACTCATGTCGAATACACTGACCAATAGGGTAGTTGACTCATGTCGAATACACTGACCAATAAATAGGCTAGTTGACTCATGTCGAAAATACATTGACCAATAGGCTAGTTGACTCATGTCGAATACACTGACCAATAAGGCTAGTTGACTCATGTCGAATACACTGACCAATAGGCTAGTTGACTCATGTCGAATACACTGATCAATAGGCTAGTTGACTCATGTCGAATACACTGACCAATAAGGCTAGTTGACTCATGTCGAATACACTGACCAATAGGCTAGTTGACTCATATCGAATACACTGATCAATAGGCTAGTTGACTCATGTCGAATACACTGACCAATAAATAGGCTAGTTGACTCATGTCGAAAATACATTGACCAATAGGCTAGTTGACTCATGTCGAATACACTGACCAATAAGGCTAGTTGACTCATGTCGAATACACTGACCAATAGACTAGTTGACTCATGTCGAATACATTGATCAATAGGCTAGTTGACTCATGTCGAATACACTGACCAATAAGGCTAGTTGACTCATGTCGAATACACTGACCAATAGGCTAGTTGACTCATATCGAATACACTGATCAATAGGCTAGTTGACTCATGTCGAATACACTAACCAATAGGCTAGTTGACTCATGTCGAATACACTGACCAATAGGCTAGTTGACTCATGTCGATAACACTGACCAATAAGCTAGTTGACTCAGGTCGATAACACTGACCAATAGGCTAGTTGACTCATGTCGAATACACTGAGCAATAAATAAATAGGCTAGTTGACTCATGTCGAATACACTGACCAATAGGCTGATTGACTCATGTCGAATACACTGATCAATAGGCTAGTTGACGCATGTCCAATTGTATTAAATAAATGTTTATTTCTTAAGGTATTTAGTCTAAGGAACCTAAATATATTGATTTCACTTCATAAAAGCAGAAGATAGCTGTAGAAATTTAATTTAAAAAAAATAGTACTTTTTAAACACTAAAGACGCTGTTCACCATATCCGCCATGATTAAGACGTCTCTTTGGTAGTAAACAACTAAATGTCATTCGCGAGTTACTGTGAATTTGTACTGCATATAATTTTCCATGTCGTTTTCCAAGTGATAGATATGTAACGTAAGAATTTTAATATTTATTTTGCTCATTGTCATAGTACATACATAACCTTTAAACTTGTATTATTAAAACTGATAATAAATGAAGAGACTCAAAATATTATTCAATGAGTACCTACTTACATCAAAGTGATCTTCGCAAAAATAAATTTTACTATGAGCGATAAAGTTGCAGGATCCCTTTTAGCAAGTTCTAACCTGGTATTGCGTAGGTTAATTTCTTTCGCCACTTTAATCCACAACTTTCCTGGTGTCTTCAAGGATTATTGATGATATTGATTAGTGTTTTTACATCCTCGTACAATACAATAATGATAATTACTATATTTTTCGTGGTTTTTTATTATAAACTCAGATAGCTTATTTTCTACGTGCTTACGAGTTTTTGTTTACTACCGGTTGACGTCATAGCATAGATAATATAATCTATAGACTAAAATGGCCGACAGCGTTTTTGTATGTCCATGAAAAGTCTCTTTTAAAATTAAAGATTTGTGGCTTTATAGGTCTCAAAAAAATATAAAACATTTTTTTCGGTCTAACAGAACATTTATTCACCATTTAAAACCTTTTTCCAAAAAGGGGTAACTAGCCTATTATGCTACAGCGACCTCAATGGCCGTGTTAATTTTCTTCTATCATACTCGTATCTTAGGCTGCAAGGCAGCGCCATCTCTTCGCTTTGTAGCTAACCCACAATTTGTTTACTTTCCATTGATTCCTTAGGCGATATGGATGCGGAAGATATACGACCGCTTTCCCAAGGAGCCGTATGTAGGCATCTGGGTGTTCTGGAGGCCAGGGATCATCGTAAACTCGCCAGAGCTGGCCCGCAGGATCCTCGTGAAGGACTTCGACTGCTTCAGGAATAGGTTGGCCGGCACCGACACGGGCAAAGTCGACCCAATCGGGGGACTCAATATTTTCACATTGAACGTAAGTGACGATGTATTGATTCATCTACATTATCTATACTAATATTATAAAGCTGCAGAGTTTGTTTGTTTGAACGCGCTAATCTCTGGAACTACTGGTCCGATTCGAATGATTCTTTCAGTGTTGGGTAGTCCATTTATCGAGGAAGGCTATAGGCTATTTTTTTTTTCAAAATTAGGGATCCGTAATAAATTTGCTATTTTGTAAAACAAGGTGTAAAATCGAAAACCTATTTTTGCGTGCGCTGCAAAAACTATTGACAGTAGAACAAAATGATGTATTACGGGTTTGTAGATCCCATTAAGGCCTACAAAAAAGTCAGCGAGAACATTTATCTAGCTATCATGATTTAATCACAATAAGCGATTTTGTGTTCAAAATAATTATTAAATCGTCTGAAGAAAAAAAAAACTACGTTAAATATGTATCGTAATATTAAAAACACAAACAACCCTTAATTTTCACCCCTCTACCACCCATATTTTATGGCGATACGAAGTTCTCTGGGTCAGCTAGTCTTATATATAAAATTCTCGTGTCACAGTGTTAGTTACCATAGTCCTTCGAAAAGCCTTGACCGATTTTTATGAAATCTTATATGCACATTAAGTAGGTCTGAGAATCGGCTACTATCTATTTTTCAAACCTCTAAGTGATAAGGGTTGTCCACCCCTAACATTTTATTGTTTGGACAATTTTAATTTAGATTTTTTTAAATGTAATATAAAAAAAGAGATACGAGCTTAAATTTTACCCTTCTATCACCAATCCCTATTTTTTATACCGTTAAGAAGTTCATTGGGTCAGCTCGTTTTAGATAAAATTTGGGAGGATCGTTTTTTATTTTATAATATACGGTGAATGCGGTTTGGATTTTTTATACGAATTGTCATCGCCAATTTTGATTCCAAGGATGTTGTCAACTACGAAACATGTCCAGTTTTTAGCTTAATAAATTATTAAACTACTAGCTGACCCAGCGAACTTCGTACCGCCCTAAAAAAATAGGGGTTGTCCAGCGGACAAAATTGTGAATCTAAACCATTCTCAGATCCCCTTGAACACACACAAAAAATTTCATCAAAATCGATCCAGTCGTTTAAGAGAAGTTCAGTGACATACACACTCACAGAAGAATTATATATATAAAGATTTCGACTCTAATGAATATCAAGTTTGCGTGTTATCGAATTTCCGGTACTATAATTCTTCACTTTGACAAGATTTGGGTAGATTGCTCTGGAATTATTCTCTAAGTTGTAAATTTACTTGTCAACAGTATTTACTAATGAGAATAAAGAATATAATGGTGTCAATTCTGGCATAATTCTCTAAACATTAAACTAAATTGATCAGTCTCCCCTTTTCATTCTATATATATATAATTTCGATACTCGATGGGGCGGGATCTTTAAAGTTAAGCAACTTTCGCAGTGGTCGGTCATTGGATGTTCCTCCGTGCTTCCACATGCACGTTAAGCCGATGGTTCCGGCTGCATCTGCAGTCGTTAGTATCCGCCAATCCACACTGGGCCCGCGTGGTGGGTTATGGCCCAATCTCCATATTCCATCCATAGGGAAGGCCTGTGCCCTAGCAGTGGGGAAATTGATAGGCTGATGACGATGATATAATTTCATTCTATAGAGAATGAAAAGGATAAACTGATGTCAAATTTAAATTGATATTTAGAGAATTATGGCAGAATCGACGCCAATTGTCGCCTTAAGTTTTGAGGTTCGAAAATAAAGTCACCTAAAATAAGGGTTTTTTTGACGCTTTCGTAAGAAACACAGACTTTAATATTATATATATTTATATACTAGCTGACTCTGCGAACTTCGTACCGCCCAAAAGTAATAATTTGCAATAAATTAAAATTGCGACTATAATTTGAGACACATGGTGTGCGAATTTTATTATAATCGGTTCAGTGGTTTAGGAGTCCATTGAGGACAAACATTGTGACACGAGATTTATATATATTAAAGATATACCTTGTTTATATGTATAAGTATCTCAAAAAGGGACTTTTTATAATTTCAAATGTTGTCATGTCCAGGATCCTGTATGGAGTGCTATCAGACGTCGGCTAACTCCGGTGTTCACATCGTCAAAACTAAAGTCTCTCCACCATCTATATTCCAGCAAGGCCAAAGAACTGACACAGAGGATTGCAAATGACATTAAAAATAATAAAACTATTGAACTTAGGGTAAGTTGAGAAGTGCCTACGCTCTTGTATTTATACAAAAAAATGCGTTTGTACTCCGAGGTCTTGGGTTCAAATCTCGGTAGGGACTCTTGGGGTTCCGCACTTAACAGAGGTAGAGGGTATTCGCAGGGTATTAAGCGGATAGCCCCTCTTAAACCAGGGTATAAAACATGTATATTTTATAACAAATTTTATACAACGTCTTATGTTTTTCTTCACACTCATATACATGTATATGTAAAACATGTAGTATACAAAAACTTGCATCAAACCTAACGGTTAAACAAAATATGTGAAGTCAATAAGTGATTAATATTTATAAGATACTAGTTGTCTTTGCAGTGTAAAAGAAATAATGTTTTAAACAGCCACAACAAGTATTCAACATTTTTTTTTAAGATAAGTATATGACTTCTTTCTTGGTGGAAACGAGCTTACAGTGCTTACTTTGGGGCTAGGCTATTTATTCATTTATTTAGTACACACACAATAGAATAAGCAATCATCATCATCATCAGCCTATTAATGTCCCCACTGCTGGGGCACAGGCCTTCCCTATGGATGGAATAGGGAGATTGGGCCATGACCCACCACGCGGGCCCAGTGCGGATTGGCGGGTGCTAACAACTGCGAATGCAGTCGGGACCAACGTCTTAACGTGCCTTCCGAAGCACGGAGGAACTAAAGATAGTAAATTTTTGGTCACCCATCCAATGACCGACCACTGCGAAAGTTGCTTAACTTCAACGATCGCAGCCGAACGCGCTTACCACTTGCGCCATCGAGCTCCTCAGGCAATGCTTATTTTTTATTAAACATTTTGAGGCTAATTGGTGTGAGTATTAGAAGTATTTATTTATCTATATATATATAAATGAAACCCGTTTTCTGTTGTCACGACATAACATGAAAACGGCTTGACCGATTTGGCTGATTTTTTTTTAGAATATTCCTTGAAGTGCGAGGATGGTTCTTACGAAGAGAAAAATTAAAAAAAATGCCTGAAAATGTCAAAAAACAAATCTTTTCTTTACTCCCATACAAACGATTCGTAATAATACTTAAAAGTCAATTTGAACTTTAATACCATACCATAAATTTCAAATGTTAGTGGAGAGATTCTGGGAAGGCAAAACAATTGAGCGACGTGATGTCTATAGAAGTTTGGAAAAGATAAATATACCATCTTCAGTTTTTTTATAATCTATATATATAAAACTCAAAGGTGACTGACTGACGTAGTAATCTATCAACGCCCAGCCCAAACCACTGGACGGATCGGGCTGAAATTTGGCATGCAGGTAGATGTTATGACGTAGGCATCCGCTAAGAAAGGATTTTGATCAATTCTACCCCCAAGGGGATAAAATAGGGAATGAAAGTTTGTATGAAACTTTGTCAATTTTAAAACCGAACGGGCTGAGACTTTGCATGCAGGTATAAGAATAATCATAGATGAATGCCATTGTGTATAAAACAAGCCTGAGAACAAAAACTGTAGTCTACGCTTCAGCTCTACACCGAAGCGAAGCGAGGGCGGGCCGCTAGTTTACAATAAATATTATGTTTTTGTAAAGGTTACTCTAGTATCCCATAACAGAAGGCTGGAAGTGTTTAATTTTGGGCTAGGCTAATTGGTGTTAGTGTTATGGGTATTTTTAAAGTGCAACTTTTTTTTACATCGCAGTATTGCCACAAATTTTTTCGTCGGTCATTAAGCATGTTGCATTATATTTTTGACGTGATAACGTCATAGAAATCGATGAACACCGGTTGCACGCACGAAAAAGTGTGACGTCATGTCACGTTGTCACGAGTTAGTTCAACGTTTCGCGGTGTTGGTGAAGTGAGGTCGAGGGGTTCTTTTGAATTTAATATCCACAATTATTAAAAAGCAGAACCATCATATCTCAGAAAGTTCAATGTCAGAATCGTCTTTCGGCTTGCAAAAAAAAAATATCTTTTCCTTGTTTATTTATCTATTAGCCGCTGGCGCTGACGCGGCACGCCCATTTCGCTCTCTCGGCTCGCCCAAAAATTTGGTCACAACACTAACCTAAGCTGACCACTTAGCCTTAGCAAAATTATGCAAAATAAAATTTTGCCAAAGTGAATTATGCTTAATAAAACTCTGCCATCTTAAAAGTATGCTATTGCAAACTGTTCTGTTAAACATGTAAATATTGGGCCACTTAATTTGTTATACTTAATAAAAACATGCCTTACAAAACATTGTTTTAAACTTTCATGGTCACTAACATTATAGTAATATATGTTATTAACGGGATTGTTACCATGTACCTTGTTTTTAGCGAGTTATCGATATTTCGGCACTGTTGGAAGCGCGATGATCACGGAGTAACTGAAGTAATTGCGGGTAGGCTGTTGTTGGCAGACATGTCGGTCTAACCTCTGACGAAGTCTTTTATTGCCGAAATATCGGAAACTCGCTAAAAACAAGGTACATGGTAACAATCCCGTTAATAACATATATTACTATAATGCCTTACAAATATTCGTTTAAAGAAGATTATACCAAGCGCGTTACGCCAAATGAATTTCGGAGCAACAAGATTCTACCAGATAGAGGGAACCCTACCAGATAGCCATGTGGCATTAAGTCCGCCATTTGTTGTAAAATGACAACAAAGAGTAAATAAAAAAAATGATGTGGTGTCGTGGGACACCAGGTAGGAACGAAGTTCCTTCGGCTAATGTAGAATCGACACAAATTGCAAACTCGCTTGTGTATGCGACTGTCGCGCCTGCGCACGTCTCATTTAACGGTTTTATTCCACGCACTTTTTTCCACGGATTTTTTCTTAAGGTTTTACTATCACATTTTTTTCAGTTCGGTCGCGCAGCAAAATCCCTATCCCCTCCAAGAATGCCGTAAGGAACTTCGTTCCAATAAACCCTAATCTTTTATTGTTTTCAGAACTTGTACGTGGACTACACCACAGACGTTATCGGTACCTCATCGTTCGGCATCAAGTTGGACACCGTGCTGACCGGCAGCAGCCCGCTGCGGTCCATTACTGGAACCTTCATGCACTACGGCGCCTTGAGGGGGCTGGCGTGGTGCAGCATCTTTTATCTGCCAGAACTTGCTAAAGTGTTCAGGTATATACTATTAACCCACTAATATTATAAATGTAAAAGTTTGTATGTGTGTTCCTCAATCACGCTAAAACGGTCCTGAACGGATTTGAATGAAACGGCAATACCCAAAATAGGCGTGGACAAGGTGCTTGGCAAACAACAATTTTACAATATTATTTTATTTATTTTTAAACCAACGCCGGGTTTCATGGTGTTGCCGACTCGAGAGGTCCCCGGGTTCGAATCCCGGTGGGGGCAGATGTTTGTGTGATGAATACGAGCATTTGTACTCCAGTCATGGAAGTTTAATATGTGTTTCTATATAAATATACTCATATATGTACAGGTATATGTATTCTATCCGTTACCTTAGCATCCCATAACACAAGCCTTACAGTGCTTACTTTAGGGTTAGGCTAATTCGTGTGAGTGTTGGAAATATTTTATTCATAACATTCTGTCATGTCAGCGAAAACGGCTATGATTGGCTGAATTTCAGTAAGCATCACGTCATTAGAGAGAAAACGGCTAGGATTGGTTGGGTCTAAGGTGACATTTATAGACAAGGGCTGCGTTCCAAACCTACGCTCCAGGTGCAACAAATGTCAAATTCGATAGAAGTTTCATACATTTATGTTAAAATTGAAACGTTAGAGTGAAAATTTGCACTTGTCGTCAAGATTTGGAACGCACCCAATCTGTCAAAAGATCACTGCATTTTTTTGAGCTCGTACTGTCATGAATTACTACGCAGACTACCTGCTCGGGCGACATCCTAGCCACAACTAAAAGTGTGGAGTGGACCGCCATGTTTCAGAAACAGTGTTTACGGTAAACTTGTTTTTAAACAAGTTGATGAACTTCGAACTTCATAAACAGTTTATCAACAAATGTTGCCTAATGAATACGCGGCATTATTCGTACCTGGGTTGGTCGCGATCATATTGGTCATTGCTTCCGCCCGAATAGCGGGTGGATGCGGGTTCGAGTCCCGTCTGCTGCCTGGACGTGGAATATTTTTCTAGTGAAATTTTCTTTTGATTTATGCAATTTAGACGATCTTAGTGGCCGAGTGGTTCGTACGCCGGGTTTCATGGTGTCGCCGACTCGAGAGGTCCCGGGTTCGAACCCGGTGGGGGCAGATGTTTGTGTGATGAATACGAGCATTTGTACTCCAGTCATGGAAGTTTAATATGTATTTCTATATAAATATACTCATATATGTACAGTATATCTATTCTATCCGTTACCCTAGCATCCCATAACACAAGCCTTACAGTGCTTACTTTGGTGCTAGGCTAATTGGTGTGTGTTGGAAATATTTATTATTATTATTAGTTTTTCATCACTGTAAGTTGTTTTTCTTTTGTTTTAGATTCAACCTGTTCCCGAAGTCTTCAGTGGCATATTTCAGGAGAGTATTCAAACAAATAGTAGCTCAAAGAGGCGGATACAACGGTAAATCGGAGGAGAATGACCTATTAGATGCCCTGCGCAAAATAAAATATGATTCGGACAATAACGGGGAAGGTATTTATTATTATTTTTTAAGTGAAAACTTTTTTGTATGGGTAAAAATGTTAAACTCGCGTCAGGTTAAACACGTGGGCTGATCGCATCATGACACACAATAAAATTGGAAAGGTTGTTGACTTTCAATATATTGGACGAAACATAGTAATATTTTATTTTATCGTATTGTAAATCGAAAATTCGTAAGACGAAAACAAGAAAATTGGAAAGGTTATTGACTTTCAATATATTGGACGAAACATAGTAATATTTTATTTTATCGTATTATAATAATAAGTCTGTATCAAGGTCGTCCAGGTGGCAGCTTTATTGCGAAGAAAATGCATTTTTTTTACAATAGATGTCGCTAGGTACGCTTAAATAAGTAATTCTGAGAGATAAACTTTTTAATGTAATATAAATTGTCATGTTTGTGAACGATAGCGCAATAAATAAACATTGTATTCTACCACATAAATGATAGTACTTTTATACTGATAATTAAAGAAATTCGTGCAAAATTATTCCCTAACCATTCCAAAATATCAAAAATCCCCCGTCGTTTTTTGGAACGAAGTTCCTTACGGCAGGCTTGGAGGGGATAGGGATTTTGCTGCGCGACCGAACTGAAAAAAATGTGATAGTAAAACCGTAAGAAAAAATCCGTGGAAAAAAGTGCGTGGAATAAAACCGTTAAATGAGACGTGCGCAGGCGCGACAGTCGCATACACAAGCGAGTAGTGTATAATACCTTTCTCTTTCTCCCTCTTTCTTTTCGTTCTCTCATCCCTTCTCTTTCTATTACCACTCCACCCCGCCAATGCATAGTATATACTCATGAATTCATGGACAAGCACGTGGCGAATATTCACATTATAGATACATTTTACTCGTGAGTAGCCACGTTTTTTTTGCAATTTGTGTCGATTCTACATTAGCCGAAGGAACTTCGTTCCTACATGGTGTCCCACGACACCACATCATTTTTATTCAAATGTTTTGACCTTTATTTTTGTTTCATAGTCATGGACGAAGACCTGGTGATCGCGCAGGCTGCCGTGTTCCTCCAGGCTGGGTTCGACACTTCAGCATCAGCTCTCACATTCCTCACGTACGAGTTAGCCTATAAGCCTGAAATACAGGTTGGTTTAGCGTATAAGCCTGAAATACAGGTTAGTCATTCTTTCGCGTTGCCTTAAAAACTGTGAATCTAGGCTATACACAGGAGCCGAGCTCAGAGACAAGCCTTATTGCCAACGAAAGCCAAAAAAAGTTAGTGATGCGTTTAAAACTTTTGAGAATATATATATATATATATATATATATATATATATATATATATATATATATATATGATTTTCGCCTAAACATGGTTAAAACAGTGTCCAACTTAGAACTTTTCTGTATTACAACCGAACATCTTAGATATTTATGTTTTTATTTTTTTAAGCATTTAACTGCTAGATGTTTATTTTTCTAATAAAATTTTTCTTTAGATTTAAACCACTAGCAGTTATATGCTTAAAAAAATATAACTATAGGTAATTGCTATTTCTTCTTTCAAATGTTTAATACTTGAAAAAGTATTCATTTGACATTGTGGGTTACCTACAATGCGAAGAGATGGCGCTGCCTTGCAGCTTAGGGCTAGGAAAATTTCGACGCGGCCATCAGGGCCGTGGTAGCATAATTGGTCAGTGCATTCGCCCGGATTGCGAAGGGTGCGGGTTCGAGTCCCGTCCGCTGCCTGGTCCGCGTGGATTTTTTTCTAGTAAAACTATTCTTTAGATTTTAGATATTTTTATTTCCGAATTTTCCGACGAAAGGTTTTACTAGGAATATCACGGTACCAGAGTGATGCACAAAACACTCAACCAACCTCAACCGCAACCTCATCTGATCCTAAGTTTATAGAATATGTCAAAAACTATTCAAAAACTTTTAAAAAGGTGTGTGCCATAGCAAAAGCTAAGTTTTTATGAAAAAAAATTAGTCTTTCCGATAATAAAATAAAGACAACTTGGAATATAATTAATAATGAAACTGGAAGAAATAAATTTAATGAACACACATATTCTGTAAAAATAGACAATAAGATTATTAGGACAGATAATGCGGTTGCAAACACTTTTGAAAATTTCTTTTCTAGTGCACCATTTGAAACAACTAGAAATCTTAATTCTTGTTCTAGGTTAGCAATGACCCTCCTTGAGTCAAGTGTTCATAAGTGCAGTAATGATTTTCATTTTAGACATATCAGTAGCGACTGTATTATAAAAACTTTTAACTCAATTAAAATTAAAAAGACAGAGGATTATTGGGGAATATCAACATATATATATAAACCGATTATCACTGTTATTGCGCCACAACTGGCCATTATATTTAACAAATGTATTGATGAGGGAGTGTTTCCAGATCTAATGAAATGTGCTAAAGTTATCCCTCTCTTTAAGGCTGGTGACAAATCAGATCCCAGCAATTTTAGGCCTATATCTGTATTACCAGCGCTAAGTAAAGTATTTGAGAAAATAATTTATAACCAATTACTAGCACACTTTTCTATAAATAAGCTATTTCATTTAAAACAGTTTGGTTTCACTAGAGGCAAAAGTACTACTGATGCTGGAACTGCACTTCTCAAACACATCTTTGATATATGGGAGAATAAGCACGATGCTATTGGCATTTTTTGCGACATATCAAAGGCGTTTGACTGCGTTAGCCATGAAACATTGTTAAATAAAATGAAGCATTATGGTGTATCAAATATTTCACTAAGTCTGATACAGTCTTATCTTTCTGCTAGGATTCAGAAAGTAGTTATAAATGAAGCTGAGTCTACAGGAGCACCCATTTCTATGGGCGTGCCCCAGGGTTCAATATTGGGCCCATTGCTTTTCCTTATTTATATCAATGACCTTCCTCACTTTACAAGAGATTTGTGTGAGACAGTACTATTTACTGATGACACCTCTTTATTGTTTAAAGCTAGAAGAGGAAATGATTGTTATGACGAAGTAAATTGTGCTCTCTCTGAAGTCCTTCACTGGTTTACGGTAAATAATTTAAAACTTAACTCCAGTAAAACAAAATGCGTTAAGTTTACTCTACCTAATGTAAGGCAGGTTAATACTAGTATAAAAATAAATGACCAGCCTGTAGAGTTAGTGGATTCTACAAAGTTTCTGGGTATTACTTTAGACTCTCGTCTGCAATGGGATCCTCATATTGATGCCTTGTCAAGTAGATTGAGCTCTGCAGCTTTTGCTGTTAAAAAAATAAGACTCTTAACTGATGTGGAAACGGCAAGATTAGTTTACTTTGGTTACTTTCATAGTGTTATGTCATATGGCCTTTTGTTGTGGGGCTCAGCCGCTAATATCGAAAGTATTTTCATACTGCAAAAGAAAGCTGTTCGCGCCATATACAATTTAAAGGCAAGAGAATCCCTTAGAGAAAAATTTAAAGAAATTAATATTTTAACACTGGCGTCGCAATACATTTATGAAAATTTAATATATGTAAGAAAAAACTATGGTGAATTTGCAAAAAAAAGTCAAACCCATAACTTTAACACGAGATTTAAGAACAAGCCTGCCGTTCCATGTTTCAGACTCCAAAAATCAAGAGGTTCATTTCTGGGTTGTAGTATTGCATTGTTTAACAAAGTTCCCCAAGATCTGATTGAGCTTCCACTGACTAAATTTAAATCTCAGATCAAAAATACTCTTATGAATAAGGGCTATTATAAAGTTGATGATTATCTAAATGATCGTAATGCATGGACATAGTGTTTCTTATAATTTGATATTAAATGGGTATTACTCATTTTTCATAACAGTAATATTGTACCAATCTAATGCCGCTTCCTATATACTACTTAAAATGTTAACTATAAAATTAATTGTAACTACATATTATATTCTAGATGATGTAATGGAAAGTGACTTCAGACGTATTTCTGAAGTAATTTTTCAACTTGACGACACTGTATATAACAATACAGGGAAAAAAAACAGCCCTTGCTGAGTTTCTTGCCGGTTCTTCTCAGTACAAGGTCTCCCGCCGTAGTTTTGCGAACCGATGGCGTAGCTTCTTGACCTTCACAAGTGCTTGTAACAGCCTAGACTGAATAAATGACATTTCATTTCATTTCATTTCACTATGCCACTACGTATGCCTTATTACCCATCATCATCATCAGCTTATTAATATCCCCACCTCTGGGGCACAGGCCTTACCTATGGATGGAATAGGGAGATTGGGCCCTAACCTACCACGCGGGCAAAGTGCGGATTGGCGGGTGCTAACGACTGCAGATGCAACCGGGACCAACGGCTTAACGTGCCTTTCGAAGCACGGAGGAACTCGAGATAGAAGATTTTTGGTCACCCATCCAATGACCGATCACTGCGAAAGTTGCTTAGCTTCAACGATCGCAGTCGAACGCACTAACCACCCGCACCATCAAGCTCCTGTTATTACGCAATGATCGAATAACACACACGAGGGATTAATAGTACCGCGTACAAACGTTCCGATTGCGTCGTTGCTCTCGGTTGTGAGCGGTGATTGGTTCGATTGATTGAAGTCGCGTCGTTCAAAATTCAAAATTCAATATCGTTTATTCAGTCTAGGCTGTTACAAGCACTTGTGAATGTCGAAAAGCTACGCCATCGGTTCGCAAATCTACGGCGGGAGACCTTGTACTCAGAAGAACCGGCAAGAAACTCGGCAAGGGCTGTTTTTTTCTCCCTGTATTATATACAGACTCGTCAAATTGAAAAATGACTTCAATATGAGGTAACTCATAAAGTCACTTTCCATTACAATTGCAAATAATATAAAAATTATGACTATATAAAAAAGTAGTTTAACAAAGTTTAGGAATGCTGTGTCCTGCTGTTTAGGCGTTTTTGCGTTTGATTGGCTATTATCTTTTAGGTAGGGGCGAGCGGCCGACTTCGGATTCCGTACAAACGGTCTAGGACGACCATTCTAACCTCTCTCTGTGTTCTGTGCTATCTATATCTCGTTTTGTGCGCTCGATTCGTTATAAAGAGATGGACCCAGTATTCTCTTTTACAACGTCTTCTACTTTTCTTAAATTTCATGTTAAATACGTTATTTTATATGTATATATTTATGTCAACAGCATCATGGATTATCTTTTTCCACACAATTATCAAACTTTTGCAACAAAGTTTCATCAATTTATACAGATAAATATATAATCGCTGGAGATTTTAACTTAAGCGATATAATGTGGTCGTTATCTGACGGCGTTCAGTATTCAAGTCCATCGTTTCGTATAATATAAATCATGATGAATTAAAAGTCTTAATGCATTTTTGTGAATTGAACCAATTTAACAGTGTCAGAAATCACCTAAATGGCATACTCGATTTGATTCTGTCTAATGGAGATTTAGCGGTTCATCACTGCAATGACCCTCTAGTAGACGAGGACTCTTATCATCCTGCCCTAATTTTCCAATGTAACTTTCTCGATATGACGACCTTAAATCCCAAATCATACCTAAAATACTTTTACAATAAAGGTGATTATTCTGCTATATGCCACGATGTTTGTGTGATGAATACGATAATTTTTACTCCAGTCATGTTTAATATATCTTTATATATATAATTCTTCTGTGAGTGTGTATGTCACTGAACTTCTCTTAAACGGCTGGACCGATTTTGATGAAATTTTTTGTGTGTGTTCAAGGGGATCTGAGAATGGTTTAGATTCACAAAGACGTGTAGACAGGACATTTTTTAGGGCGGTACGAAGTTCGCTGGGTCAGCTAGTATTTCTATATAAATATACTTATAAATGTACTGTGTATGTATTCTATCCGTTACCCTAGTATTCCATAGCATGCTTACTTTGGGGCTAGGCTAATTGGTGTGAGTGTTGGAAATATTTATATTTATATATTCACTTCAATCGAGTGCGTTTCTCTAAAATTTCGGGCAAGAAATGTTCGCACACCGTGTGCATTGAGTCTGTGCCAATTTCAGGTCATATTTTTTTCGCCATTCTGGGACTATAGTCATCTATAGATAGGTAGATTAACACTTATTATATCACCAAATACATAATTACGTAACATACACAAACAGTAATATTAACAAAAGCGTTATAATTAGCGGTCTCATCGCTAAGAGCGATTTCTTCCAGACAACCACTGATTATGAAAAGTTATACAGAGACCATACGGGTGTTAAATGGCTTGTAATAAATAGTCACATCCATACATACAATCTACATCAAACTAAGTATCCTAATTAAACATATAAATATATATACATACATACACATACATATATATATTATATATATATACACATACATATTACACATACACATAGACTATTTGTGCTTTACGGAGAAAAGTCCCTCGTCTGCGCAGGCCATTATTAATAAACGAGGAATAAGCTAAGATTAGTTACGCCGTGTCTTGTTCATATTGTTACGTGTCGGGATGGGGTTCGAAATTATATGCCAGTTCACGCTTGACAGTTCTTTATTCACCACACAGTTCACACAATTAACACAGAATGTTAATTACAAAACACTCACTAAACGCTGTATTTCACTATACAAGTCTCAAAACAATCACACTTGAACACTTTTGTTGCACTTTGATCGCCTTTGGATTCGCTCCGAAATCGCTGTTGAAACTTAACTGTCTCTGCGCGGCGCCAATCGCGCTTGTATACGCCGATCGACGCATTCTAGAAAGTACCTGTTAAATTGAGAATTACCTAGCATCCGCGAGTACAAAGTACCTACTCATACCTACGCAGGTAACGCGCATAACTTGTAAACAAGTGCAGATGTCGCCCTTACGCCGCACTGCATAAGGCTCATTTTGGAATGAGCCGCATTACTCGACCTCTATCACGACCCGCGGTGATCTGGCAAATTCGATCTCTAGCACTTTCGCGGTTACGTTTCGAGAGCGTTTGTGACAATATCATTCAAATGTAATTTAATGAACAGGAACAAAAAACATGGAGTAACTAACGCAAGCTTAAACTTCGTTTATTAATAAGGGGACGTGAGTTAACTATAATGTCAAAGGTAGTACTTACTTTTAGTATTAAACGTTTGTAAGAAGAGATAGCATTAGAGAGCTTGTTTTTAAGTATGTGATGGGATTTTTTCATTCTCTTTGCAGGAAAAAGTGTACCAGGAGTTGTTGCAGGCCAAGAAAGCTCTCGGCGATAAAGAATTTGACGCCACTGTACTCAGTGAGCTAATATACTTCAATTGCGTTATTAAAGGTAATTGTTGGTAATTGTAAAATTAATAGGCATTGCATTTAAATACATTGTTATTCAGATTTTTTCAAATTATACCTGTGGCGGCGACATCTACTCACTCGCCTCCTCAAAAGATGGCGTTACCGGCGCTGCGTTCACAACGTATGGGAGCATACATCGCGCAAGAGAAAGTCGGAGGAAAATACTCAATACATCCAATGCCCGACTAACACCAGACGGCCCCACGACAACGGCTAACAAGAGCCGAGGTCCGAGTCTCAGAGACGCCCTCTAGTTCAGCCGACCCCCTCAAGTTCGAGTGGTGTAGAGGCTCCAGACGGAGAGGAGACTCCCCCCGTGGGGAGATGCCATCCGCCTGGAATACCTCTGGAGGTACTTGGCAATTCTCGGCTTGAGGCAAACACACTAATAAAAACATCAGTCGGGCCGCGGCCTTCGAGCTACTATCCCAGCTGGGAGGAAGGCCTTCCCACATACCTACTAATTAAACAAAATCCTATCTATTTGATTGCTGCTTAGAGAAAACTGGCATAGATTTTTTTTTACACTAGCGTTCCATCACTGAGGCGGATATTGAGCAGAGCATTTTTCGACAAATAGGCAATTGTATAATGCTTTTTTTTGTAATTATTAAGTTTGCTTAATTATGGTGTAGTGTGTTTTTATTGGTGAAGACCTGTAATCCTGTTGTTATTTAAGTTTTTATTATTTTTATTAATAGCTTCCTCTAAAAAAATAAATAAACAAATAAAAAAATAAAAAGTGCAGTGATCACGAAAATTGTTAATTTAACGGATTTTATTTTATATATATACTAGGTGACCCAGCGAACTTCGTACCGCCCTAAAAAAATAGGGGTTGTCCAGCGGACAAAATTGTGAATCTAAACCATTCTCAGATCCCCTTGATCACACACAAAAAATTTCATGAAAATCGGTCCAGTCGTTTAAGAGAAGTTCAGTGACATACACACTCACAGAAGAATTATATATTATATAAGATATATATTTTTTATAGTTTTTTTGATTTAGATATTTTTTTACGGTGGGCCCAGTGTGGATTGGGCCTAGTGTCCTCAGCTATCCATCTCAATATCTCCCTATTCCATAAAAAAAGTCCTACCTACCAATCTGCACTGGGGCCGCGTGCTGGGTTAATGGGCTGATCCCCCGATCCCATCAAATTATTAAACAAAACTTTAAACCAAGGCCTCAGCCACCGAAATTATCTGTTTACCCACCCAGCTGCCTAGCTAGATGCCTCGTTAGGTTGTGACAGTATTTGTCACGTAGGCACCATCCGCCATACCGTCCCAGAAGGAACTTCGTTCCATTATTACTTTCCCTTTTTTTTACAAGCAAGTAGGCAGTTTTATGGTAGCCATACACACTACGAGAAATCGTTACGATCAGACTGTACAGTTCGAACGGAACAGTTTACCGGACGTGACGTACGTATAGGAAACTGTGCAGTTTTATAACATACACGCTAAGATTTATTGGTACCGTTCGAACTGTACAGTCTTATCGTAACGATTTCTCGTAGTGTGTATGGCTAGCATTAGGGTATTTTTTAGGGTGCCGGGCCGTCTGTATGTTTGTCAAGATTGTTTATATTAGGAATGCGTGAGTGATTACAATGTGAAAATATAATGTGGTATGTATTATAATGTGAAAAAATATACTTCTGAGTTAACGTAAAAAAAGATACATCCGTTTATGTTGCGCACGTAATAACTTATCGCTGTGAAGTTTTTTTTGCCAGTGTTATTGTAGAATTTTTGACTTTATCTTTGGCTACCAATTTGTATGGGTACAAATACGGGTTGTAATACTCGTGTGGCTTGTATCGTCATGGCTCGGTCTTCCTATTGTATTATATGTATAGACAGATAGATAGATAATACTTTATTGAACACACCACATTATAAAGTACAAAGTTTGGACACTAATTTAAATATGTGGACAATTGGCAGTCTTGTGGCTATGTAGCCATTTCTTCCAGACAACCATAGGATGGAGAGACGAATTTTAATTAAAGAGGGGGTGTGCAATTACAAGACTAAAATAAAAAATAAAAAAAGAAAACAAAATCTAGCCATGAAAAAAATTACTGTTCATATTAAATAATAGAAACTGATATAAAATATATTGTCTGTTATAGGCTGATTATGGTTGTTCATAGATATACAACTTTGATCTACTAAAACCCATTTCAGAGACTTTAAGAAAATATCCTCCTATGGGTTGGCTGGACCGAGTTGCTGAGAAAAACTATCGGATCGACGACAAGCTGACCATAGCCAAAGGGACCAGTGTGTACGTGAACTCTATGGGGATGCAGCATGACCCGGACTACTACCCAGATCCGGACCGGTTCGACCCGGACCGGTTCCTGCCGGAGAACGACGATGGAAGCAGACCGTACATGCCGTTTGGGGAAGGGCCTAGGATATGCATAGGTAGAGTATATTATTAAATGACCCTACAAACTTTGTCCTGCCCTACAAAAAAAATATAATAAGGAAACAGTATAGAAGAGAATATATTTTATTAATCCTCATTTACAGATACAAATTCAAAAATCTCAGGGCTAACCAGGACCCTGCCTTAGTATTTATTATTATTATTTATTTATTTGTTTATTGACATAATAAAAACACAGTGGAAGGACCTAATCGAATTCTAACAAAGAATATCATTGGAATCGGTCTACACGTTTAGGCGTATTTAATTACATTTACTTGGACTAATATGATAATTATATAATTTATAAAAATTAACTTAAGAACGACATAGGTAACCGATTTCATCTATCTTTTTTTTTAACAGTAAAATACGAACGGACCCAAAATAGAACCCTTGGGAACGCTCATTAAAACATGAGATCCAAATGCCTTGACACCATTTGCCTCTATAGTCTGAACTCTAGAACTGAGATACGACAATAAAATTTTTGGGTTGCGCCTTTGACTCAACTTCATCGCCAGCGTCTGATGCTCAACGCAATCAAAAGCCTCCGAAAAGTCACACAATACTCCAAGAACATTCTGAGACTCTTCCCAAGCTTCCAATATATGCCTAATAAGTGCAATACCCGCATTAGTCGTAGATCTACCTCTAGTAAAGCCAAATTGATTTGCATGTAACAGTTTATTCAAATTGAAATGTGATATTTATTGATCTTAAATTATATTTGTCCGGTAATAGGTCTGTAATTACCGGGGGTCATCTCTATTTCCAGATTTAAAAAGAGTTAGAACTTTATTCTATTTGATCTGATCAATACAATTATTGAATATTCTACAAGATAAGGAGCGATTACTGTTATTATGCAATTAACAATTTTTATAGATATTCCCCATATAGGCTTATAGGCTGTTGTTGATGATGATGATGATTCCCCATAAATCACATGTATTTTTCTTTTATTATATTTAAAACTTTTGTAATTCAATATCTCTAAACGTAAACGGGGCATCACACCGAGGCACTTCGCCTTAGGAGCCGCCGACGATGAATTACAAAGTTTTTGATGAATTACAAATTACAAAATTAATTAATAAAAATATTAGCAACCTGTTCTTTAGATTTAATTTCATATATTAAAGTTACCTACGATGTAAAAAACTTCCGATAAAGTCCCAAGTGTATCCGTAAAGGTAGAGATAAGATAGTGGTTTTGAGAGTTTTAATAAATAATTTCTTTAGAATCTAAATTCAACCACTCGTATCGATTCTGGCATGGTTCTCTAAACCAAAACTAAAATTTGACAACAGTGTATTCTTGTCATTCTCTATACAGAATGAAAAGGAGAGACTGATGTTAAATTTAGTGTAGAGAATCATGCCAGAATCGACATCACTGTATGCTTAAAATAATATATGACCTAAAGTATGAATTGTATAACTACCCTAATAAAGAAATATCTATTAATCCATTCATTTTTTGCAGGTATGCGCTTCGCTCACCGCACAATTTGGTATGCAGCATCCCAGATTCTGCTGAACTATCATCTGCAACCGATGCCGGGTACCAAAACCCCGGTTAGATGCGAGGTTGACCACCGGGGGTTGATTCTGGCCCCGGGAAAGGAGACTTACGTTAAATTCGTGCCTAGATCGTAATAATTGTAGTATATTTAATTTTTATATAAAACTTACTAAAAATTACACTGCTTTGCATTTCCTTTTTTTTTAAACAATCTTCATTGTCTTGTGATGTTCCGCTGTCCGGTGGAGCTATAGGGTATCTTGTAACAATGGAGTTTATAATTTGGCTGTTTTCTGAGTCACCTTCATCTTAGACCGGTCTTCAAGCTAAAAATAGTTATATCCGTTTTTAACTACCTATATTGTTAGTTAAAACGGATTCATTTAATTACACGCAAATACCGAAATCGCTGATTGAGTGATCAATTAACACACTGTAATTAAAAAGTTTGAAATATTAAATTTTTTTTTTTGTTAAGTAGTGCACAGATTCGTTTTACGCTACGCTCTTGTAGTAGGTAAACCACAAAATAAATAATATAGAATGTCATTTCATTTATTTAATTCACTTTCCATAGGTACCTACGCTCGGCGATCGCCTTAAGATTGTCAACTATGGCCTGTGCACAAAAAAATGTAGTAGTGGCACTCGTACGTATCTAGTTGTTTGATTTATTTTTGAGAATGACACGGGAGGTATATGAACCAAATAAAAAAAGTATTTAAATTTTAATGTTATTGTTATATTAGGTGCAAATAAAACGACTATTCACCGTTTAATGTTGAATTCCAACACCCGTCCACTGAACAGTTATAACTAAGTAACTAAGTTTTTGCTTTATTTTTGTACAAAAAAGTTCACAGACGCAAGTCTCAAGCGGATGGAACTCCTTCTCGCACTGGTTTCGGTCCGCGGCGGTCCGAGATATCGTGTCCGTGAGCGGTGTCTATGTGTGCGTTGCTCGAGCGCACTTTTTATATAGATTACCTTCTGTTCTATCTATTTTATGGTGATATTTTTTTTAATTATGATTTATATTCTTCACTAAGTCAGATTCATTGAAAACTTAAATTTAGTTAAACAAACAATGTAAACTGAATAAGTATTTTAATTAAAAAAAAGACAATAATTTTCATGAGTTTAATCTTTGTATAGGCTAGACAAGTGGTTCTCTTAATATACGTTTAAAAATAACGTTTGTATATTTTTTACGAAAATGTTATGTAACATTTGATTTAGTGTTATAAATGAAAGCTTGCGACAAGTCATTTTAAAGTTTTTTGTATTTAGTCAAACTTAGTTTATCAAAGAAGTTAGTTTTTTAGTTTCTCAAAACTTTCTGAGTGTCCCAGTTGAAATTTTTCCAAATTAAAATTTCAACTTATAATTTAATGTTTAATTATTTATTTATTATTCTGAAATGACATTAAATAACCTATCGCGTCATAATAATCTTCAACCATGCAAAGCCGGGTTCTATCCACTAATAAATTTAGTACTTTAAGCTACTGTCTTAATTATAAGAAAAAAAAACATGAGTCCGTTGTCTTGTCTGATAATAGGTTGACTCAACTGTAATACCTGAATAGGGGTGATGACGGGGTACAGTAAATGAAATTCTATTTAGTCCGTCAGTTAGATGATCAAAAAATAATGGACACGTATTTTTTCTTTGGGCAATCAACCAAAAAATGACAAAGTTATAGCACGTCAAAGTTTGGGAGTAGGGGCTCGTGACGTCACTTTTGAGTGAATTTTCACATAAAAGTGTACTCAAACGTGTCGTAATGCGACTTTTCAAATCAATATATCTCTGCAATGTTTATATTATGTGAAAAAAGAAAAAATACGTGTCCAATACTTTTTGATAATCTACTTGATAAACGAAGAAAAAAAAATAGTCATCATCCCTATTATATGCAGTTGCATATACTACATTTTATTTACTCATAAGTGCAACTGAAATTAACAAAGTAAAAAAAAAAGTATTTAGCAACACTTTTCTGAAATCCCGAAAACAAAAACACGATCGGCAGAAAGTTGTATGGGAAGCAAGAGAAATTAATTTCTAATTTCGAATGCGTGGGCCTCTTGCTGTATATTCAGCCTAATATAATTATCATAGACTTATTTAATAATAATAAAAAAAAATATTCTACTATAATGATTAAAAAGTTATTTTACGATACATCTGGCGAGTTTTATTTATAACTAGTGTCCCGCCCTCGCTTCGCTTCGGTGTAGAGCTGTAGTGTAAACTATAATTTTTGTTCTCAGGCTTGTGCTATAGAGAATGACTTTATTTATATAATTACACGTGTTATTGTGAGTCAACCATTAAAGATAGACATATACTGTTGTGGAATATTTTTTAGACAATTTTATGTAGAATATTTCCGCCATACATGATTTCTATGTAACTTTAACCATTAAGGCTGCACCCGCGACGGAAGCTTAAAAAATGGAGTAACTTCTCCCGTTTTCCCAACATTTGCCTTCACTACTCTGCTGCTATTGATTGTAGCGTGATGAAAAGTATACTATAACCTGCCCAGGAGTATGAAGAATAATTGTGCCAAGTTTCGTTAACATCCGTCGAGTAGTTTTTGTTTCTATAAGGAACATACACACAGACAGACAGACAGACAGACAGACAAAAACTTTACTGATTGCATTTTTGGCATCAGTATCGACCACTAATCACCCCCTGATAGTTATTTTGAAAATATATTTCATGTACAGAATTGACCTCTCTACAGATTTATTATAAGTATAGATAGACTAGCTGACCAAGCGAACTTCGTACCGCCATAAAAAAAATAGGGGTTGGTGGTAGAAAGTTGAAAATTTAGGGATGTATGTATTTTTGTATGATGTATCATAAAAAAAATAAAAATAAAATATCTAAAATTGAAAAAAAAAATTAGGGCTGGATTACCCTTAATATTTAGGGGGATGAAAAATAGATGTTGTCCGATTCTCAGACCTACCCAATATGCACACAAAATTTCATGAGAATCGGGAAAGCCGTTTCGGAGGAGTTTAACCACAAACACCGCGACACGAGAATTTTATATATTAGATTTTATAACACATAAAGCGTCTCTTATTGCACTAATTTCAATATCATAATCTATCACATTACACACGCGTGCGGTAATGTAAAGTTAAACGCACTGCTTATTATGTTCCGTCTAAAAACGAACGATACTTTTTTAAATCTAAACAAAGAGTTTTTATGTCAGAAAGGTAGCTAACATTTTCTTAATAAAATTAACTTTGGGAGATAAAATACCTATAATATAAACATTTAATTCTTTAATTTGATTCATTTTGACAATAAATTACAACCATGTATCGGTAACAAATTCACAAAAGTATTAATTTACTTTGTTAGTAACACTGGCTGTTTTTTGTTCCTTTGTCTAAAAAAGCGTTGATGCGCGCATCGCTCATCTGTGAAGGAGTTATTTCTTCTCCTTTTCGCTGTATTGCTTTTATTTGGGAGGTTTTTGGCGGGATTTCATCGAGTGCGGTTGGCGTCTTATTTTCATTATTCTTAAATTCGTTCATAGTGGATATTGTGAAATAAAATTGGTGTGGTTTTGTGTAACAATCGTCTGCGTAACTGAAGAATTAGTGGAATCGTTAAAATATACGCTATTCCGGTCAAGTAGACGTGAGAATTTTATTGTAGTGTTGACTATCTCACAGAAGCTTATCGAAAAAGCTAACTCGATACATTTCGTGCCAAACACTCCAAGAAACATTAGAATGCGTCACACCGACATTCTAATGTAAAAACAAAAAGAAGATTAATTTAATTAAAGACTAGCCTGTATGGGCATTGTTCCCTTTGCCTTCCCTAAAACGGGAGAACTTCAACAAAAAAAAATTTTTTTTTGAAAATATTGTCAAGTAGTAACGAATTTATTAATTTGAGGAGTTTTTGGCGGGATTTCATCGAGTGCGGTTGGCGTCTTATTTTAATTATTCTTAAATTTGTTCATAGTGGATATTGTGAAATAAAATTGGTGTGATTTTGTGTTACAACCGTCTGCGCAACTGAAGAATTAGTGGAATCTTTAAAATATACGCTATTCCGGTCAAGTGGACGTGAGAATTTTATTGTAGTGTTGACTACCTCACAGAAGCTTATCGAAAAAGCCAACTCGATATATTTCGTGCCAAACACTCCAAGAAGCATTAGAATGCGTCACACCCACATTCTAATGTAAAAAAAGGAAGATTAATACAAAAATAAGACGATGGCTGCATGGCTATGCCTTTGCCTTTCTCAATAGAGAAGAATAGAACTAAAAAAAAAAATTATTAATTTGACACCGCCAGAAGTCGAAAAACGCTACACTAAGCCTCTTGCCCGAAAAATCCACGGATAGATACTTACAGTTAAGCGTATCAAAATTTCATCTTATAGAAAACAAACAAAGGTGCAAATTCATTTTCAGAAAGTACGTACGTAGGCAGTATTATTTCCTCGCAAATGTGTTATAAAATATTGACATAATGTGTATGACATACGTGCGGTTTGATAATTACAGCCTCTGCCTTCTTATAGCCCTCACCTACGGGTCGGGCTAACAATATCGCCTCGGCTGTGATTCTCAACTTACCGCACTTATATCATAATGTACTATTATGTATGTGCGTTTACAAAGAACGTCTGGATATACTGTACTTCCAGGGCCCAAAAGTAAAAACTTCACAGTTTTGTTGGTTGTAATTTCGCATTTTTGTTGTTAAAAAGGTTTCTGTTAACCACATTATTAAAAAAATGTCACACTTATGCACTGGTAGTTTTTTAGAAAAAAATATTGAAAATTTTTACTTTTCTTATCAAGTGGTGATACTTCACACTAGGTTAGGTTAGGTTAGTGTTGTGACCATAACGCGCGAGCCGAGCGAGCAAAGCGAGCGTGCCGCGGCAGCGGCCGGCGAAGCGCCAGAAAAAAAAAACTGTTAAAAAGACCTTTTCTACAAAAAAAACAAGTATCACCTTTTGGGCCCTGGAAGTACAGTTCTACCGAAAGTCTTTATAAAACCATCTTTGATTTCGTAATTCGAATAATTCGACATGAGTGTAGATAAATATGATTATCTCACTGTGACAAGTTCGCAC